ATTTACCCTAGCAACAGTACATGACGGGCTATTTGGCTGCACTCAGGGGGCGCTTTTTCTCAGCGCCCCATGACAGAAACTCACTGGTGAATGAATGTCACTAGGTGGGAAATGTTGTATATGTTATTCATATCGCATGTAGGCACATACTGGTGGGTAAACCCAATTTAAAAACTTAATTTGTAAAAATATATTTTACATTTTTAGCCCATCTTATCAGGGAGGGCGGTGCCCCAGCGCCCCCTATGGGCCGGCCGCCACTGCATTCAACCCACTCATCAAAGTTAAGAATTTTTTTTTGCTTTACAGCCCATTGTACCATATACGACCCAGTAACAGTGACATTTAGTGATTACTGACTGAATTAACCAGATTTTTTTCCACATTAAATATGGCCCCCAGCGCATTTTGAGGTTCTTGCTGTACATGCTGCAAAGATTCACCTGTCAAGCTGTGAATAGGTAAGTGGCAGAAATTTTGCATCATCAGTTATAATGTTTAGATGTTATAGAACATGTACAGCTAGGTTTTGGATGTTTTGAAACTTATCTGGCAACTGTGATGATCATGTTCCATGTGCTCAACATCAGCCTCAGAGGGAATACAGGTGGTGCACCAGACCTTACAACCCACCACAAGTAAACTTTCTGTGTGTAGTACACCTTTTTACAGGTCTGTTCACTTGACCTGTTTCTTGATGGGTTGGCATGTTGAGGCATGTGTTTTATTGCCAGCACATGGTGAATGATGAAGAGGAAAACTCAATAAATGCATTTTGAAAATGAGAATGATGCAAAGATTTGGTTTTTCCTTCTTTTCTGTCCTTATTTCATAGGTGAAATTAACAAGTTGGAACAGCATGAACAGCCCAGCGGGTCGTACATGGCACATTCATAACATGGACTGGGAAGGGGTTATTTTTACAAAACACCCGTTTTTGAGTTCACTGGGTCTGTATGATCATTTTAGCCAATGGACATAGTTTTCCTATAATGATAAGGTGGTCTGGGTTCCTCAGGGTTAAATAGTAAGGCCTGTTGAACATTTTACCATTTACCAAAGTACAGACTTCTTTGTACATTCAGCCCCCTTGAGGCCAATGGTAGTAATGGGAAGAATATCCCAGTTTGGCCACTATTATTTTTCCTGTAAATATGTTGTGGTGTTGACACATTATCACTATATATAAGTATATTTGCTATTAAACAATGTGTATATATTGAAATCTATATGAATATTTTTTCATTTCAGAAAAAGACAATAATACGAATAATAATAAGAATGTGGCTTATTATTATTATTGTGTGCCTGTAATCAGAAGGTCGCTGGTTCAAACCCAGCCTCAGCATGTCTGCGGGTCCTTGAGCAAAGCCCTTAACCCCCAGCTCCCTGGGTGCCGCTATGGGTGGCTGCCCTTCGTGGACAACTTACTCTACAAAATATACAAGTTGAGGGAGGTGTAAAGACAATTACCCCACGGGGATCAATGAAGTATCGATTAAGCCAGGCAGCACTAAGTACTTCACATAACAACAGGCAGAACCAAAAGAAGAATAAAATAAATGAAACATTCAAATAAAAGAAAAAAATGGGAAGTATAAGGAAAAGAAAAGTAATCATTCTATAAACACATTAAGAAAGTAATAAGGAAACAAATACATTTGCAAAGGCTGATAAATAAAAGTATGTTTTTAAATGGCTACTGAGTCAGTTGATCTAATGCTTGGAGGTAAGCTGTTTCAACACCTTGGAGCCATCAAAGAAAATGCTTTATGGGTCGACAGCTGTGGTTGTTGATGCTGTCGTTGACGTTTCTGTTGTTGGCGCCATTGTGGCCACGGTTGTCATCATTGTGGATGTGGTTATTGTTGTGGTTGTTGATGTTGTCGATGACGTGGGAGCTGTTATGGATATGGTTATCGCTGTTCTGAGTGTCGTTGATGCTGTCCTTGATATCGTTGTTGGGGCCATTGTGGGTGTTGTGGTTGGGTTGACAGTTGTGGTTGTTGATACTGTCGTTGACATTGCCATTGTTAGGGCTTATGTGGTTATTGTCATTATGAGTGTCGTTGATGCTGTCATTAATGCCATTGTTGGGGCCATTGTGGATATGGTTGTTGTCATTGTGGGTGTCGTTGTTGATGGTGTTGATGTTGTCATTCTTGGGACATTGTGGAATTGGTTGTTGTGATTGGTGTGGTAGACGTGGTGGTTGAGATTGGTGTGGATGTGATCATTGTGAGTGTTGTTGTGGTTGGTTCGGTAGTGGTGCTGCTTGATGATGTTGATGACATTGTTCTTGGAGCCATTGTCGATGTGGTTGTCATATTGGTGGGTGTGGATGTTGATGGTGTCGTTGACATTTCAGTTGTTGGAGCCATTATGGATGTGGATTTCGTCATTATGGGTGCTGTTGATGGTGTCATTGACGGTGTCATTGTTGGGGCCATTGTGGATGTTGTGCTTGGGTTGATACTGTGGTTGACATTGCTGTTGTTGGGGCCTGTGGATTAATTATAGGTGTCATTGATGTTGTCGTTAATGTTGTTGTTGGAGCTATTCTGGATGTGGTTGTCAATGTTGTGGTTGGTAGGGTAGTGGTGGGTCTTGATGTTGTCATTAATGTTGTTGGGGCCATTGTGGATGGGGTTGTCGTCATTTTGGGTGTCATTGATGGCGTCCTTGACATTGTCATTGTTGGGGACATTGTGGATGTTGTCGTTGTGGTTGGGTTGACATTTGTGGTTATTGAAGCTATCGTTGACATTATTGATGTTGGTAACATTGTGGGTGTGGTTATCATTTTGGGTGTCGTTGTTGATGGTATCATTGACGGTGTCATTGTTGGGGCCATTGTGGGTGTGGTTGTTGTGGTTGGTATGCTAGAAGTCGTTGGGATAGGTGTGGATGTGGCTGTCATCGTTGTGGTTGTCGTGGTTGGTTTGGTAGGGGAGGTTGTTGAAGTTGTTGATGACGTTGTTGGAGCCATTGTGGATGTGGTTGTTGTCGTTGTGGGTGTCGTTGTTGATGCTATCGTTGATGATGTTGTTCTTGGGGCCGCTGTGTATGTGGTTGTCGTCGTTGTGGGTGTCGTTGATGCTGTCGTTGATGTTGTTGTTGTTGGGGCCGCTGTGGTTGTCGTCGTTGTGGGTGTTGGTGTTCTTGCTGTCGTTGATGATGTTGATGTTGGGGCCGCTGTGGATGTGGTAGTTGTCGTTGTTGATGCTGTTGTTGGGGCTGCTGTGGATGTGGTTGTCGTCGTTGTGGGTGTTGTTGATGCTGTCGTTGATGTTGTTGTTGTTGGGGCCGCTGTGGTTGTCGTCGTTGTGGGTGTTGTTGATGCT